GAATCTAAGACAAAGCACTACCAGTAGTACCAAAGCCATTTACATTTATTCTATTTCTTTGTGTTATTGTGGGTAAGGAGTCCAGACTATGTTATGGAACTTGGAACACCCTCTTGTCATTGTTATGGTGGTTATCCAGGAGGCAAATGGAATCAAGAGGGCTAAGAATATTCCTGCTAAACTCAAGGCCCCAATGACTGTTTTGGCTTTTAGACAATCTTGAAGCTGAGGTCCATCTAAAGCAACAGGCATAGACACCCACAAAGACAGGCAATGAAACCATCTGAGTTTTCAACTCCAGTCTGCTTTTGGGTAGGAATTTCTCAKCTTGCTGCCATCTGACCAATTGGGCTGGTGACAACCTCCTGCATCCTGAAAATGAGTGGGCCAAGGTGGGCCATCCMATCCTGAAGTTGATATAGTCCAAGAATCCTGTTGTGTGTGATCCAGAGGTGGGTTTGGAAGGTGAAGCTTTTGAGAGCTAAGATTTCCATCCTCTGGATATTTTTCTGATACAGATCATGGGAATTGTGGTTGAGACCACTGGAGGGCACCTCTCAGGAGGTGTTGGTCCTAGAATGGCAAGGAGTTGAAAAGTTGACTGCTTTGTTAAAGAAAATCCTCCCTGGAAGAAACCCTCTAGGATAMCCTTTCCTTGTTGTTTGTCACCTGGCAAGCAAGTAGCCACAATCCTTGGGTGGCTTACTGGACTTTGATGGTGTGCTGCCTAGAGTTTGCCCTATTGGGATTGGTAAGATTTACAGGTTCCTGATAGCAAAGTGTCTGTCAGAGGTCTTTGGGAACTTTGCCACTGAGGCATAACCTCTGTGCTACCCTCCTCACTGGCATTGATGGGGGTGGCCCATGTGGTTTGCAATCTCTAGCTCAGATTAAGTGTACTGGCAGACACTATTKCCAATGCTAATAGAGCAAGACCTAGCACTGATACACCACCCTTGCCCAAGCTTTTGTTCCTGCTGTTGAACCTGAGAGAACCTTGCTGGTTGATGCCATGAATGGGTTCAATAAGCCCAGTCACAAAGCAGTAATGTTTTGGACAATATATAACCTATGGCCCTAGGAGCATGTTCTAGTTTCAACCCCTACAATCACTCTGCCTGGCTCATTCTCCATGTATGGTTGATGAACAATCAGTGCATCCTCCTGCTCTCCTACAAGGGAGTCACACATGGCAACCAAAGGAGCATGTTGCTCTCTGAACTGGCACTGGTCCCTCCTCTATCCAGCAAAGCCTTCTACTCACTCTGCCCTGGCATTGTTCAGCCCTGGTATGCTGACAATGATACAATTCATGGCAAAGTCCGTGACATTGCTGTTATCATGGATAAATTGGTCCAACGGGGCCTCAAATGGGGCTATCATCCAGAGCCTACCAAGAGCATTCTTCTCAGACTGGCAGCAATGACAGCCAAGGCTCAGGAGGTCTTGGGCCAGTTCAACTTCAAGTTTGTTGCCAGTCACCACAGCTATCTGGGGGCCTTTATCAGCAGTGTACCTGGCACATGTGCCTTCATAGCRCACAACRAACAAGCTCACATAATCCTGCCATGATACTGATCACAGCAGCAAAGAACAGKAACAGTACTAACAGCAGTCAGTAAATAAACTCAAGAAGTCAACAATATTGCTGTTGAAGAGGCTGAAGCAAACATCAGAGTCTGAAGACTTCTATTCTAACATTGTTTGGATTGAATTCTGGGTCTTCAGACTCATGTACAATGGAGCATAATTATAACCAAGCAGTGATGCAKGGGGATAGTAGTAGCACCAGAGTACTAGAATAAACAAAATAGAATGATATAATTAATAGGAAACATAATAACTTCCACATTGTCAGAACATGAATTGTGTATCAGCAGCAGCAGTGTAGAAGAAATACTTGTATTCATGATGGCTGTGTTAAAACTCATTCCTTAGGCATCTGAACAGTTCAAGTCTACCATTGACATTTTCRTGTCTATTTTAAATATGTCTTTTCATAATKAATTTATTTTGGTAACAGTAGTCAAGAGGACCAACTACAGTAGGATGTGAATGGTAMGCTCTGTCAAGTTCACACTTTTCACCAGGCAAAAGCATTAGAGCTACAGGGGTTCTGTAGATATCAATATCAGCTTTCAATATGTGGAATGGACCATGGCAAGAAACAATTCTGCTTGTCTGAATGCAAGTGCTTATTCCATATGTTTAAACCAGAAGCCTTAAACTTCTGACAGTACATTTTTGGATCAAATGTACGGCCCTATATCCTTTCCAATCTGCCTGTTTTGCTTCTCTGAGTTTGCTTTGTTGTGTACTTTGAAGTCAACAGCATTGTGGTAGATCTTGCAAGTCAAGTATTTATTCTTTGTAAATCTATCAACAAAGAATTACTACTGATCATAGCATTACAATTCTTATTACAATTMTTGACTGGTGCTGGGAGTCACCACTATGTTSCAAACAGAAAGAAATTCCACCTTGCTTTCTGRGCGTCTTTGGGTCTTTTCTCAGCACCTTTTCAAGGACTCTCTTTGTTGGATAGTGCTTCCAAAGATACAACCACCACAGCATATGACTTGGATTAGACTTTGGAGACAAACAATGGATGTATCAACTTCCAGGAGTGAGTCAGTACCATTGGTGTTACTCAAAACTCTGCTTGATAGAGTACCCTGGAGGCAATCTTAACCATCTCCATCATTRATAATATTTTGGTACCATTGTTGTTGTTGGATGGTGATACTTGTAGTATTCTTGATGATGATCTGAACACCAGGAGCATTAGTCACACAGCAAGCAAGCAGTGCCAATTTAATGCCATTGTGCTGATTGCTGACCCCTTCATTGAACCATTGAGTGCACTTGTATTTGGCTGCTGCACAAGGATACATACCAACCAAAAAAGTGGCAGTGGATGCAGTCATTTGGTTGGATGTTTAGGTGTGTGTTAAAAAACAAGACAATCTCTTCTATATAGTTTGTGGCAACATGTGCTGATGCTATGCTAGGGAAGTGTTGTTGAGTTTTTGTGTGCRTGGTAATGGTTTTTCTACAGGCAGTTGGGAGTTCTTTACTAGTGTGTGGCATGGTGTGGAGGTTGTCACAACAGTCAGATTGAGTGCATTTGTCTTGTGGGTCCAGGCAATGGGTGGGTTTATTCCATTTTGGTAACRGTAGGCAGAACATAGTTGGCTTGTTGCTTGCTTGATGGAAAATACCTCTTGACATACTAGAGTTGGCAGGGTCTCAAGAAGAAGGCTTGGTTATGGTTTGAGAGCAGTTCTTTTTCTTTGGTGCAGAGCGAGAAACATGTTTTTGTTACTATGGTTAGTTGCTGTAGTCTTTCTGCTGCTATGTCCCACTGGAAGTTAGGTATTTTGCTGAGGAAAGCATTGCTTGCTTGAAGGACATTATCAATTTTCTTGAGCAGGGTGAATGGTGGATATTGTTGTGCAGTGGGGTTTGGCTGTGCATGAGTTTGGTGGGTGTTCTGTGCTTTCATTGTTTTGGGGTGACTTGTGGGGTGACTTGCAAAGGTCAATCATGGTTGGTGCATTGTTCTTTCTGATGTTTGGTGTGTGTGTGTGTGTGTGTGTGTGTGTGTGTGTGTGTGTGTGTGTGTGTGTGTGTGTGTGTGTGTGTGTGTGTGTGTGTGTGTGTGTGTCTATCCTCAGGGTTTAGAGCCTCAAGATGTTCAAGGGTGAGGAGTTTGGAGGTGCTTGGGTGGAAGGGGATGATGCAGAGGATGTTTTGGCTGTATTCTAGAGCAAACACTAGCAAGACATAATTACTTTCCACAATTGCCTGGTACCAGTGTCCTGGGTTCCATGCTTCCTGGTTGCAGGGGGGGTACTCCTTCAGGACCACAGTGATGGTGTTGCAAATTACTACCAGGGCAAGGGTGCAGGCAGACACGATAGATTTGTTTTGTACAWATTAAGTCTTGTGAGCTTATTGTTGTTTTGGTCAATTGTTGTCTTTTACTTGCGTTGTTTGTTGGTTGTGTTGTGTGTGTAGTGGGATGGTCGTTGGATTGAAATGCATGGGGGGTTGTTTTTTTCGTTTGCCAAAATTTGTTTGTTCTTAGTACTGGCTTTGGTTGCAAAATTGTTTGTTTGTTGGTTTGGTTGTTAGCATTTGTGTTGTTTTTTTGGCATTAGGTCTTGCTTTTGGCTTGTGCTTGGGTTGAGGGTGTGAGAGTGTCAGGTATTCTTGGTGTCAGAGTGAGGGGGTTTGAGGGGCTGGGTGGTCACATTGTCTGTTGTTTTGGATTGTAGGGTTGGATTTAGTCCCTTGGTTGTTCTGTGGATTGGTAAATTTTGCATTCATTTGGCAATTTGTTTTTTCATTGTGTTTGTGCCTGCTGACAGGAGGTGTTTTTGTTGCAGCTGGGGAGAGGTTGTTGGTGGTTGGAGAGCATTGTTTGTTGTTGGGGGGTGCTTATTGGAGAGTGTTCTTTGTTGCGCTGGTAGGGAAATATATTTTTGTCATGATAGGGTGATTGTGGTTTACACAGTGCTGGTGTTTGGGTTTGCTTGTTGTGTAGTGCTGCTGCTGGTGGTGGTGCCACTGTACGTTCTGTTTGACAGTGATTAATTGCATCTTCACTGGATTCTTGTGGTGTATTGGTGAGCTTTATGCTAATGTGATTATAGTGTTGTGTTGGAGTGGTGAAACGTTCCTCTGTCATATCATGTCTCATCCTACCATGGCWTTCATTCACTGCAATACTTTCAAGAATGAGTGCAAGGCTTGTTGAGGTGCAAGTGTGCTGTATTTGCAGGGGTGCAGTTTTTGTTTGGTTTACGACTTCATCTGTCCGTCGTGTCGTTTCCAATACCGGTACTAAAAACGACCGAACCAAAWWTTTTTAAGATTCATCTTCACGATCCTTTTTGGTCGCTGTGCTGATGCTGTTACAACTATCCGCCAGAACAAGAAAGAGAAGGTGTCTCATGTTGATCAGTTACGAACGCTACTCTTGCTCGCAAGAGWTTCAGCTGATACGAAATACGACGATCTATACTTGACACAACCATTTTTCAACATGGCCCCCAAATCTGCAGGATTCTCTGACAATACCATGCTGAACAATGTCGCTGAAGACAAAGAACAGACATCAGCTTCCCTCGTCGTCGGGTCCGATGTTCTGACTCGATGGGGTAGAGGGAAGGTGATAGAGATTCGAGATGACTTGATGGAAACTCATGCAGTGAAACTTTCTTCGTGGAGATTGGCTGGTCGTTCATCGGTAATCTGCTATGTGTCTAGGAAAGAATGYCAAGCAATGCGACCCAAAAAAATCTATGATATGGATGTCTTCGAAAAGATAGAACATGCGAACGAGTTGAAGGAACTCGCTACGTCCAAATTCATGACGAGGGATTATACTGGATCATTAGAATTATTTGCTAGGGCTTTGGATTCTGTACGATATGTTCAACATAAAGCAGATTCTACAAACGAAGTTAGAGCAGATTTGATCGTTGTGATGATTACTTGCTCAAATAATGCCGCACTATGTTCCTCAAAGAAAGGGGATTGGGAACGTGCGGCAAAGTTTGCAGCAAATGCACTAGTCTTAATCGAAGCTCTTGAAGAGAAAGGCAATGAAAGTAAAATCAAGACCGTAATCAATAACGATGGCATCGGAGATTCTCAGTTGTTTGGGACATGGAAAGTTAAGGTAAGATTGGACACGAAGCACTATTTGTTGACGATCCAATTTGTGATCSAATGTTCCCTCACGTTGCTTTCAATCTTGGCTGGCATGATTGTAGAGTCTGCTACTTATCGCAAAATCCATGATGGAACGGCATGACACTTCCAAAACGACTAGTACTCTGAAGAAAGCAATGGAAGCRATTTCAGTCTACAAAAAAGAAGRTGATCAAATGTACAAACAACTTTCTACGCAAGAGAAGGATATCCGAAGGCTGCGATTAGAGTTTTCGAGAAAGACTAGAGAAGCGCGAATAAAAGAAAAGAAACAAGCTAAAGCGATGTTTGGTGGGAATGAAGAACATAAACATGTCAAAAAAAATGACATATCAAACAACGAGACAACAGTACAACAAAAGGAAAAAATATCGGGCGAAATCAAAACAGAAGAATCAGAATTATCAAAGAATCGCGCTACCCGTAAAGAAGATTGTGTACCTGTGGGTTTCAATGGAGACGAAGATGATGATTATTCACACTCCTCTTTYATCGAGGAACACAGTGAGGCACTTCTGATCCTTTCTTGCATTGCTGTAGGATGGTTCGTTGTAAAGATGGTTACTAAAAGAAAATAATATAGTCGCAATTGCATTGGTTTTTAAATGGAACGTTGCGATTTCTTCGACATTCTTTTTGACATCATACGCTCAAACGTATACCGTGGTAAGAGGTCATGCTCGACAAAGAACAAACGACGGAGGACTTCATTGATGTTTGAGTCCTCTGCACTAACAAATAAAGATAGCGCATTTGTTTAATCGAGATGTTGCTTATTGCCTGGCCATCCTTAATTTTAGCTTGGAGCTATATCGGAACAAATATGATCGAGAAATTATCGATGTTACGAGTTTAGGCCGAGAACGTCAGAAGGTTAGAACTCAACACAATGTTACTCAGAGGTGATTATGCTTCTACTTTTTGTCGCTTTTGCCTGTGATCCAAATCTCTTGAACTTTCTATAGCTTCACCAAGGTAAACTTGAGTTTGAAGCTCTTCGAACTGTTCGAATTCTTCGGCACTCATCTGTTCAGTTGTAGTGCTGTCTATATACGATAGCGGAACAATATTTCCTTTGATTCCAACCATGGTCTGAGAAAAATATTTATCTGATTCATAAGAACCATCACCATAGATTTGGTATCCTAATGTACAAGATCCGTGCACTAACTTCCATTCGATGATGTCGCTCAACATCGTAAAGAAAACCCGTTCTTCCGATGGCTTTCGCCACTTTTTTCGAGAAACAAAACGTGAGATTATGCGAATGGATAGATTCATATTATTTTCGCTCAATTATTCGAATATATACCGGTACGTACCCGCACTGAAATCAGTATCCTCGTTGATTTACATAGAAGTCTTCTTATCGTAGCCACCAAGCTGGGTATTACCGAACAGTTGTAAAGCAGATCACTTCCAAGAATAAAGTCTATGTTACTGTTTGTGCCAGAAATTGGTTGGATGTGCCATTTTAGAGGTAAAGTTGATATTTCAACTCTCTCTTGGTAAACCTGGCGATTGAATCTAACGTTAGCCTCCAATTGAGGCAGAGCTTCTTCAACGTCCGTCAGTAGTAATTTTATACCTTTCTTGGTGCTACTGAAATTAGAAATGATATCGGCAAAGGCGAAGCCAAAGATCCCGTGCCCCGCCCCCAATTCTATTACTGAGTGTATCTGTGAGTTCTGAATTTGACTGCGAAACTCTGGGGTGCTAATATATTTCACTACGAACCGACTTGCTGGCCAAATAAGTTGATAAGTTCCATCCGAAAGAGTTCTATCAGAAGCATTACAATCAGCGCTCTGGAGAACACTTATTTTATTCCCAGTCACCATCTCGATKGTGATATTTTCACCATCGTCGCTGGGCTTCTTTTCGACACCGGCACCTTCCATTTCTGCATCTTCCTCATCGGCTCCTTTTCCCAACTTGATTTGCAAGATTTCTCCCGCCACTGATCCAGGCGGGATTTCGATTGTAAAATTTTGCCCATTGGCCTCGAAGGTAAGTGAGTCACCGTGTTCTGCACCATCAGGGATTCGGACCGAGATCACAGTCGTCTTACTTCTATCGCTATCGACCACTTCCATCGGGGTGAACTCTTAGATCTTGTTTGCTTCAATTTTTGATACAATTTGTCGGGAAGTACGACTGTGCTCATACTCATACAGAAAGTGGTTCTCATCGATCGGTTTTACACTTCGAAAATCAATCAATCATGAATACAGTACGGTACGGTACTCGTACGTACGTACTTCGTAGTAAGTAAATTAATTTTTTCTTTTTACTCTACCGTATGAACGATACGTACGGTACATACTACGAWCGTTCTGTGTTGTATTTCGTATTTCTACGGTAGTTTTTAGAGAGTTGTTTGGTGGAGGCGCGCCAAATTTTCGAAACGTTTTGACGACCATCGGAAACATCATGACCGTTAAAATAAGTAATCGAAAAATGAAAAAGACGGTACTTACCATATCTTTGTTCTTGTACCTGAAAAGGATCTCAATCCTCAAAATTCGAAATCAAACCCACCGTGATGACTCCTGAAATCGATAATGCGAATTCATCAGTCTTGAAAAGGTCAATAATGGACATAGTTCAGCTCCTGGCTCCTGTACTCTTTTTAATGTTTTCTATTCTAACAATCATATACGGATTTTGCATCTGACGTCCTGGTTGACTCACGAAAAAAGACACGAGCGTGGTCGGCCGAAGTGACAAATCATGACTAAAATTCAAAAAAATCACGACGACGATCATTTTGAAGTCAATTGTTGAGAAAATCTTCCCAATAAAAAAGCAGGTATGYCATTGATAGTTACACTTCGGAGCATCATTATGTGTAGGGTTTGTTGGTTCTCCTTCCTCGTTGTCAATCTCACAAATTCGTAACAAGTCAAACATATGAAAGATAAGAAACAGAATCTATTTTCCATCGTTACTCATAGATATTGGGAGAGTGAATGCCCAATCTACCTCTAGACCATCTCTCTCATCTTTAAGAATTAAGTGACACAATTTGCATCAGAGGACTGGACTCATTACGCGTCGCATGGAATGAAAAAAACCTCCTGACTATCGTCCAAGAACCAAGCATTTCAGGTTGTATTGAAATGAAGCAAACAATGGATTTACGACCTCCTTCGGCTAAGCATATGAATCAGCTGACTTCATCTCGCTATCCTTCTTTTTCTCAAATTGAAAGGCCACCGCTAGATCCATCGTCGTTTGAATTACCTTTCCATGGAGTACAGAATCAAGACCCATTACCACTCCATCATGGATCACCACCATTCGATCGAGCATTCCATTACTACAATTGGCAAATGCCAGTTGTTGAATACGTCACTGATATCAAACCAAACGATGGTAAGTAGATTGTTTTGCCACGGTAGTCAGCTAGAGTCTCAAAATATCTCCCTGTAAAGTGTGACTTAGTGAGATTTTCGTTTTGGACGGTCAACTTTCGTCGATTTATTATTCAAGTTTTATCGGGACGAGGTGGCGCAACGAATAGTCATTCTGGAAATCGGGCATTCCGGTCTTTAGTCAAACAGTATCAGAGTGACTATTTGAAAGCAAAGAAGCGCGACAAGCCACAGGTCGCCGCTGTAGTTGTTGATAAAATCCGTGAGAGAGGCGGTCGCTTCCTTCGAAGATGTCCCAGGAAATCCGAAGGAGTTTTCTGGATCGAAATTGGAGACGTTAGGGCAAGAGAAAAGACTTGCCAGGCTCTCCGTGAGGGAGCACCTGAGATCCGTCGTAGAAAGGCTGCATCAGAAAACGATGATGGAAGAAAATGTAAAGGCAGTGATGGATCACTTTCAGCTACTTCAACATTCGACAGGACTAAATCCGAAAGCGTTGAAGAAAATAAAGTTCTCTACTGTGGCCGAACACAAATATTAAGAACAAATTTCGAAACGGAGAAAATGGAAGCTGTTTCTATTGTCGGAGCACCCATGGTAATTAGGCCATCGATGACACTTATTTGTAGTGGTCCATCAGCGACGCCGTTGGCCATTCCAGTAGATCATCTTGATGAAAATGAACGCGAAATATATCTACGTGATTTTTTACCTCCTAACCCGTCAATTCACCAATTCAAAAGAAAAAAGCGAGCGCTTGTGCAGTCGTCGCAACGTCAGCCAGAAGACTAGAAGACTAGGGTCAGATAAATCTGGAGTACAACGTGAAAGAGATGATTGTAGGCCGACCATCAAGTATGACAAGTGCTCTCCTCCGAACACACCTATATGAAGAGCTTCAAATTCAACGGAGAAATATAAAGTATGAAATGCATCATAGGTTCACGCCATTGAAATTTTAATCACGAGATATAACAGTATCTTTTTACCATTCATTACTCACTCTRCTCTCGAGCTCTTCGTTTTGTAGAAGATTGTAATAAACAATAATACCCGAGTACTTAACATTAAAGAAAACCAACTTCTTCGGAAAAATCTAGAGCTCGGTAGTTTATTTTATCATCCGTCTCACCTCTGCCTCATCGGACTTTTCATTTGCTTCATCATATTTATCATGCGCTGATGACTGTTAAACCGACATCATTATGATTTGCTTCAAACCATATTGTGGAGTCATATCAAACGACATTTTTTTACAAGAGAATGTACAAATGGAGCTGGCATAATCAGGATGATCAATAATGGTGTTGCAATCACCTTCGCTGRAATGAAAACTATTATTGCGCCTCGCTGTGCCACTTCAATTCAACAGGTCTAATAAAAATTGAGATGTTGGTTCGCGGGGACCATTCGCATTGCGCTTGCATGAATTGACCTTGCAAAAGGTGTACTTGTCATTGGGAATTCCCCCAAATCTTAGTCATTACTAGATTTAGCTGAGTTGATCAATCAATTGATCAGCAGCATGCAAATGATRGAAGTCAGCATGAGCACAAAACTTAAAACAAGGGAATCAGTGATTCTTGGCCCAATTGTGTTCTTGATTGTGAGAATTGCTATTGCCCCTTCTGCAGCTACAATGCAGAGATGGGATAGGTTCAGAGTTGAAAAAGTCCATTACATTGGGTCATTCCCTTTATTATAAAAGTAACAAATGGTATGGTCTAGCAAGTTTATTACATCCATAATAATGGGAATCAAATTTTCAACAGAAAGACAAGAGGGAATGCAGGCTTGATGACAGTCTTTTTGGCAATTTGGAATCTTGACTGTAGTTCAAGAACATAAATACAACAAAGAAGAGGACATCAGTATGAGCACCACTTTGATACAAAGAAAAACATGAAATATTCAATCCTACTACAATACTACCACTACTACTAGTCACACAAATTTCTGATACTCACAAATAATATAACAATTTGCATGTTCCCTGCAGTATTACTAGACTGGAGTTTCCTCCTAGCAAGAAGGAAGGCTACAGCCATGGAGTCATAGATGGAGTCATGGAGACCATTATGATATACTGGTATATTTAGTTGAACAACCAGGAACAAACCCAAAGTTATTTTWAAAAAATTGTCTCCAGAAGAGAGGCCCCAGAGAGACAGGAGAACTCTGTGACTTGCAATCTTTAGATATACTTAATCTGCCTTCCACCATCTCTTCCACTCAGTGCTTGACCAAGCACTCCTCAACTGCTGTGGTGTAGACCACAAGAAGGTCTTCAGAGATCTCCTTGAGATCTTCATTCCAGTTTACAACAAATACACCACCAATAAGGACRATGAGATCCYACTAGAAGTTCCTTTTATTCTAGTGCAAAGCCCAAGGGAAAGAGGAGGGAGGTTGATGCAATCTGTGCTATTGGTTTGGTTACTTATTGGTTCAGGACAAGAGGATCTGTTGCTATATCAATGCCCATGGCATTTGGCTTGACATCCACAGTGATGTACAAGTGGCTCAAGTTTTCCAGGAGAGTGCTCCTCCTTGTTCTTCACAAACACCCACTTGCCATAGTCATTATTCCAAATAAGAAAGCAAGAAGTTGATGATTATGTTCAAGCTATTGGAAGCAAGTAGTATCCATGACTTGGAGAAGAACATGTTTGGGCTGCTACTGATGGACTGAAGAATACCATTTGAGCCTCTGAAGACTGGATCAAACAGAGAGCATTCTAAAACCCATGATAAGAAAACACCTTCATTAATGGTGTGTTTGGCTTTGCCACTGATGGAAGGATCRGGATCTCAGTCTTCAATTGCCTTGGCACTTAAAATGATAGTGCCATCTCTGATCATGGTGTCTACCAAAGGGTTGAGGAGGTCCATGGTGYATTCAATGCAAATGTTGTTGTGGATTCTTCCTTTATACTATTTGCATTGTAGGAAAAGGAGMATATCCTCATCAAGAGCACAAGGAAGGACCCAGAGAAGGACATTCTTCTTCTTTTGAATAGGGACACAACATCTTTGAGACAGATGTTGGAATGGATGATGAGGATGATACAAGGGCAGTTTCCAAGAATCAAAGGCCAGATGATATTGGAGGAKCACTTGCTTGTCAACTTGTACAACTTCCAGTGCAGTACCATAGGACACAACCAGATCCTTTCAGTCTTCATGAACAMACCAACAGCAACTACCAAATGTGCGCTGTATCAAAAATTTATWTTGAACAGGGTTCTTTCATGTAGGATGCGGGCTATCTTCAGATGCAAATGGGGTGTTTTCAATGAAGAATTGACAAATCCCATGGTCAATTGCTTTAGGTTGCTTGCTATGGTTAGTTGAAAAGAGAGGCATTTTGTAGTTAGAATTTCAAGTTTCAAATTGATACAATACAAAGCAGCAAATTGATATGGCCATGAATTGATTCAATCATACAAACCAGCAATCTGTCTGACAAACTGGTCCTTCAAACCAGTAATCTGACACTCAAAAGAACAGGCTCCCTCATGGTGGAAGGAAGCTATCATTGGTTTGGTTAAGGTGTGTTTAGTAATTGGTTGCTCAGCACTGTTACAATATGCAGAGTATTGAAATAGTGAGAAACTGGCATGACTGTCTAATCCTACACAGTACAGTAATATTTTTACTATCACTTTTCATGTCATTTTGGTGTATACCCTTGGAGGGAGTTTCCCGTGCCAACTGATACATAGTACTATGTGGCACTATCCTGCAATAAAGATTACTAGTTTACAATGCACTAACACAGA